GAATGAATAAAAAGAGCTGAGTGATATCTAGTCTCCTGGTCTAAATGTGCTTGGATTGGGTTATCCCCAAATGGTTAAGGAACCCCAAGTCCCTCTACACGTCTCAACAATATAAAATTGTTGTCATGGTGTAAGTTCTTTGTGGATAGATGTAATTATTCAAAATATGCTAAATGTCTATGCGCATGTATTTTGTGTGTGTGATGGAGTGTTGATGGACATATATTTTTTTTTACCACTGTGGGTTTGATCTGAGATGGAAAAGGTTTTAAATTAATTTACCAAACTGCTTTTAGTTTTAGCACACCTCCTCGTTGAGCTGAGAGCATATTTTTTTAGCGCTAGGTTTTTGCTTTGTTTTTAAGTGACACATAGGTAATAAGAGCTAGATCTTTCTCACGTTATGATGCTCCAGTGGCTGTGACTGAATCCGTAGAGTGTCTTACGTTCCGTTATCAGCGGGTTTTCATTACAGCTACATGGAATAAAAACCCAGGGCTTGTGTATATATTTTAGTTTGCTCTTTATCATCTACATCAGTTTATGTTCACCATATGGAGTATAAACCAACACAACCTTATTTTTATTACAACGAGTATACATCCTTTCAAAATCTAATTAGTCATTGGTTGATGTTTCTAACTAGTCAATTTCTATCATACTTTTATTAAAAAGTTAATTTTAATTCTATTTTCCCTAATTGGAAAGGTAATGTGCTGGAAAATACTGTTTTCAAATACATCTTTTTTCGATGTTATAATGAATTGCTTTTCTACTGTTATACCTTGATGTATCACCATGGTTTCATCTGAAAACGCAGAGATGAAAATGTGAGTTAGGGGATTACTATATGGAACACCATACTATACGGTATATTTTTCTAGAGAATTAAACATTAGAGACTTTAATACATGTTTTATGTTTTCCTTTAGGTTTCATGGATTGATTTTTCAGAAGCAGTTGTCTTGATCACAGGTACTAATCATTACTGATAGCTATACCTTCATTTATTCACAAAGAACTATAAACTATGACACCTCACCACAAGCTGTACGATACCCTACATAAAAGCATTCCGGTGGGGAAGAATGCAGGTGGATACAGGTTTTTGGTACACATTACTTGTGGGCATTTCTGACCTGAGACAGAAACTGGTCTGAAGAATTTGAAGGCACAGATGTTCACTTTCAAGCTTAGAGTAAATGACCTTAAATTACACTGAAATGTAATGAGCTTTTGCATACACATAATTGACTGACCCTGCACCTCCAGTATGCCTCTGTCTCCCTTTTTGTCTACCCCTTCCTCATAGTATGTGTTTGCCCCATCCACAATTTGTGTCTGCCCATATCCACTTAGCTTTTGGCTGCTCCTCCCCCTCCAGTTTGTGTTTCCTTCAACTCCATCCCCCAGATTTTCCAACCCTCTAACATTTTATATTTCCAAACCCAGACCCTAATGATCTCTTTTTTTTCTCCAAAAACATATAATGTAACCAAATAAATGTTTAAGTGACTGCTCATTTGTACTGTGTCTATCCCAGAAACTGCCTCATCAAATTGCAGGTGGTCCATGGGCTCTGGGTTCAGGGAACAGGGACATCCTCACTCTCTCTTGCAGCACCCTGCATCTGAGCTTCATTGATATAACAGCTGCCAAAACAGAGAGAGAGTGCATGAAGTAACCTCTGCTGTAAACGAGAGAATATACACAGTAGATGGCCAGTTTGGGATATCCCCTGATCCTCCAACAAAGACCTTAGCCCATAGTCATTGTGGATATGGACTCAGTCATTTGCCTGTTTTGCCTAAAGGCCAGTCTGGATCTGATATTTTAATTATACCAAGTACATATGATACTTTTCAGATCTTCACTATACATTTCATTTTTGTTTATTTGTTTTGTTTTTTGTTCTGAATACATAACTTTGTATAAATACTTTCCTTAGTAAATGAAGGTTAAAGTAAAAAGGTTTTAAGTTAGGGTTCCTTTGATCTATGTATTAAGCTATTATAGTCAGCGGTTATCCCTATTTTTTTCTCTATAAAGGACATTGTTAGGGTGGAGATTTTGCCCTCATTCTCTCTTTTTATTTACATTTCATATCTTATATAACCATGTTACTTTTATACAGTGCTCCCATGTCTTAATTATGCACTACTAAGGTTATGTTTTTTTATGCATTAACCTTGGATACTAGTGCTATCAGAAGAGCTCACCTTCCATTCATTATGATTTTATGATGTCCAAATTATAGCGGATTTACTGAGTTTCAGATCATTTAATTATGTGTTAATAGTCGAAATGGTCATTTTCTGGCGTTTAGCAACCTTCCGGTAAAATGTCCGTGTACATTTGTTCATGATCTTCGACTTACAATCAGAATTCTTTGGTGCATATGTAGGTGTGCATTTTGGCAGGTATATGCCGCCAGTATTTTTGAAGTTGTTTCCTGAAAAAAATTATTAATTTTTAAATACTGATGCAGTTGAGGCGCCATCTGTTTTTGCCACTTTTAAACACCTTTAGCCGAATAAATGCAAATTGACAATCAGCCTAAAATGATTCAACTTTGTATATGTAGTAGTGATCAATATAGGCTTTGCTAAACCGTTTGCTAAAGTTTTTTTTATATTTACATAATGTAACTATAACAATCAGATTTTTTTAAGGAAGATACTACATCCTTTTATTCATTGGAAATAATATAATTTCTTCTGCTATATATTAAGATTTAATCTATTTTTAATAAAAAACGAAAGTGACAGGTAGGAGTCATGATGAAGTGAAATGGATTCCTAAGTTTTACAAAAATTCATTAAGATATTTAATGAACTCTATGACCATTGAGTGTCAAATTAAAGCAAATCTACAATTCACTGAACTAAGTAATATGACGTTAACTAAGCTTAAATTGACTTACCTAATAGAAAACTAAGCTTGTATGATTATACTGATAATGAGATGAAAATCCTGATCTGATAGAGCATTAACAAGTTATTTTACATCAATCCTGTATGCACTAAAGTAAAATGCTAAGAGCAACTCAACACAGTGCCTTAAGATCCATCAGTTCTTCTAAAAGCCACAAAGAACTTTTTTTCTTTTTATTGTTTATTGTGTCCAAAAATAAATTTAATATACGCAGATATATAAAAAATGGAAACAGAATAAGTTGGCGCAACAGGAACTAGACAAAATATTGCTATAAAGTATTTATAAACAAAGCCACAACCTACAAGGAGTTCTGATTTAGACAACCCTCAACAAACAAACATAAAAAAACAAAATTGTAGGTGCACAAAACAATATGAGAATTAGCGACCAGAAATAGAAACATAAACAGAGTGTAATTAATGTAAATTTCTACCAATCTACGTACAATTGTGTATATAAAAATACAAATATATCCAGTGAGTAGCCAAGAAGTACAAAAGACACAAAATGGTCGAATCAGTTATTGTAACAGGCAAACATATACTTGCACTTGTGTTCAGGAGCAACTTGATCTAAAATACATAAAAACAAAGACCTAGTGCAATATTGTAAATAAGTAATATGGAGGTATAAAAGAAAAGGTTGAGCTCACAATTGTGGAGTGGTTGAAGTACCACTCCAAACTATCAGGCACCGGGAGACGGGGCATGCTTGAGAAAGCCCCGAGAGGCGGGGCGAAACGAGTAGCACACCGAACCCGGAAGTAGCCGCACATGTACAGGGAGTCTGCGATCACCTGGACATACAGTGGGTAGAACTTGGATGGTTTATCCAGTAACATGCAGGACTTAATCTTGATCTACTCTAGTACAGTAATAGCTACTCCTTTTTACATTGATTGATTTGGAAATAAAGAATGATCTTTTTACTTCACTTCTTCGGCTGAGAGTGAGTTCGTGTATCACAATGCATTTTGATCTAACATCCTCAAGGGGCTGATCCTCCTGGTGCCTGATAGTTTTGGAGTGGTAGGAAAGCATTGTGATTGTTCGAGATCATCAATTCTAATTATGTTAGTCAAGGAGGTGGACCAGGGACGGAGCCTGCACCAGCAGACCCATGCAGTGTTGGAAATAAGGCAAGTTTTTACTATATCTAAGGGAGTAAGGAAGGCCAGGGGGGCAAAATGGTGTTTTTAACACTATAGGGTCAGGAATACACATTTGTGATCCTGGCCCTATAGTGTTTCTTTAAACAGTGAAGTAATCACATATGCATTAACAGTGCCATTTTCCCCTTATCAAATTAAATAATCAAAAGCACTCAACATACTACCAACTTTTTATAAAATAATCTAATTTAAGGTTTTTGGCCATGCACAAAATAAAAACTATATGCATTTAAAATGACTCTGTGTAGGTGGGGATTTTTATATTGCTATCCTCAGTTCCCAAGATGCTTGTAATGTCAAATTTTATTAAAGAACACGAGACTCATATTATGCTTTATCTCTTTCTTTATTCCTCAGCATCAAGGAAAGGATACTGTAATATTCATAGAACATTTGAAACATGCACCCTCAAAGGGTTAACAACATAACATAACATGACATCCAATCAGAATGATCCTTGCACCATAAGCCCCCATGTGATCTTAAGCCACTCCCTCTTTCTTTGCTGCTGCTTCCTTAGCTAAGTACAATTTATTTTTCTCCTGTCAATACCAGTAATTTCAGTGTCATTTTATGTGCTTTCAGGAGTCACTGCTTTGGTGCTTGGTGCTGTCTCTTTTAGTGAGCTCTGTTGGCTCTTGTGATTCTCCCTCATTCTTCCCCTCCCCCTCCTCTCTGTGCTCATCTATCTGGTTGTTTATAACACTCGGTGAGCTTGCCTTTTTCATATTGTCAACTGTGTTTAAGTTGGTGGTCAGTGTGGGTATCCCCTGCCTTGCCTGTGCTACTGAATCTGCACTGTACTCCTGTCTGTCCTTTTTGTAGGATCTCTAGGAGTCTTACCTTGTCCCCCACTTTGGTTTTGTCCTGCCATTGTTACCCCCTTTTGTGTGTTCTGTACTCCTGGATGCTGACTATGGTAAGTCAGTTACTCAAGCCATTTACTCCGCTATGGAGGCCATTTCGGACATGTTGTCCCACTCCGTAGTGCCCTTATGTCCACCCAACAGACATCTACCCACATTTCTCCTAACCAACCGGAGAATAAACCAATGACTACCGGTGGGTTTAAAGCGTGCAAAAATCCCATCATCTAGATGAGGATGCCTCCAAAAAAGTACAATTTGACCAGGAACACCCTGTCAAAGATGATGTGGTTGCACCACAATACAGAGCCACCCACCGGGCAAAATCAGTGATGAGTTGGAAAAGGTCAAAAGCCCTAATAGAATCATCCGATTCTGAATCGGAACAGGAAGAGGCACTGAGCGAGTCTGATGATGAGGACTCTTACAATTCAGGAACATTTTTTCCTGATCATGGTGTCCGTGTCTGGACTGACCTTAAAGTCAGTGGGGAGGATTCCACCTTCCTCGACCCTGAAGGTGAACCACTTTTTGATCCGGATGCACTGCAACATCTGAGATCTTTTGAGTGGTACCCTTTGGATCACATGGCAAAGTATATCGCTGCATGTATCAAGAAGCCACTTGGTGGCAAGGAATAAACTTCGGGCTGAATACCCACATCCCACGATTCCTGATTTGGCATTCGTCACTCCAGATGTGGACCCAAAAATCACCCAATTTTCAGGCAAAATGGAGTGGAAGGCCAAAAAAGGCCTAGATTTTTCTTTATGTAAAAACAAAATACCGGATGTCCTGGGACACAGTGCTAAAATTTTAGACATCGTCGAAACAATCCTGGCAGGTGGTACTCCTGCAGATTTGCTGGCCATCAGGGGTTGGATCCAGCGATACATCTGTTTGATTGCCAATGCCAATACGGCATTAGCCACTGAGAGATGTAAAACAATACTTATTAAGATCGAACCAAAATTGGTGAATTTTGCTATATCAGAGCCAGGACCACAGGCAAAAGGCCTCCTTTTTGGGTACAATTTTATGAAGGAACTGGGCATGTATGTGGGGAATTTTACCCCACTTGATAAGGCGCAAGCCAATATGAAAAAGGTGTTCTTCCAAAGAGTTTTTGGTGGGGCCGGGAGATATCTGGGCCATCTGCCCGGCCACTCCTCCCGGGGCTCGTACCAGGTTCTCGAGGCTACGTGCATTCCCGATTCCAAGGTCATGCTCCTAAAACCACCTCATAATTCTTCCCAGTTCCTGGCAGGCCCTCTCTTGGAATCTCTTGGAACCAGAGGTAAGTTCACTTCCAACACATCTTTCTTCAATAACAATTGTGGGGGGCAGATTATGTCATTTTGAAAATGACTGGCGCATGTTAAGTTTGGGCTTGTGGGTCCTGCAAACTGTTCTGGGTTATTCCATAGATTTAGTACAATACCCTGTTCAAATGTGTTTGACCAGCCAAATAGTTTTTTCTTCAAATGACCAGTCCTTAGTAGCAGCGGAAATACAGTTTCTAGCCACCAAAGGCACAATCTCAGAGATGTATTCACACACCACAGGGTTCCTAAACAATATTTTTCCTGTACCCAAGAAAGGTGGGGGTGTCTGACCAGTCATCAATCTGCGCCCCCAAACACATTTGCCACATACCACCATTTCATAATGGAAGGTATTCACTCTCTAAGACCTACTACACCTGGGGTATTGCATGGTCAAACTCGACCTGCAGGATGCATACCTCACAGTTCTGATGTCCAAGGGCTGACACTAGTTCCTGCAATTCCGGTGGATGAGGACCATGTGGCGTTTCAATTGTCTGCCCTTCGGGCTCTCATCGGCCGCTTGGTGCTTCACAAAATCATGAAACCAGTGACTGCCCTCCTACGAAGCAGAGGGGTTCGTTTGATTATATACTTGGACGATATACTCGTGATGGCACAGAATCCTCACATACTCCGTGAACACCTGGCTTGGACACTGACTTTACTACGCAACCTTAGTTTCCTCATCAACTGGGACAAGTCCGTCCTCGAACCCTCCCAGTCCATGGAATTCTTGAGTTTCACCATCGATTCCGTATGGGGGGCTCTCCTACTACCACTTCCAAGGTCAAGGCCATACAAAAGGAAATCTGTTGGACTCTGGCACATCCTGTTCTTACACTGAGAAAACTGGCCAGGATCATCGGCCTTATTTCAGCCTCAATCCAAGCCATTTTTCCAGGTCCACTTCATTTCAGAGCCCTTCAATGCTTAAAAGCAAAATACCTTCATTTGGGTCACTCTTATTCAGATTCTGTTCCTCTCTACTGCTCAGCCAAAGAAGAACTCAACTGGTGGCTGCAGCACATGGAGGCATGGAACGGACAAGCAATCTTTGGGACTGCCCCGGATTTCGTAGTGGAGTCAGATGCAAGCAAGCATGGTTGGTGCGTGCACTACGGTCCTATTTCCACCGGAGGAAATTGGTCCCTAGATGAACAGGGGTTACACATCAATTGCCTTGAATTATTGGCAGGCTCATTTGTCCTTCGGAGTCTGTTAGGGATTTCGACCAACTACTCCATCCTACAATAATTTGACAGTTCGCTACATCAACCATCTTGGAGGCACGAGGTCAACGGTTTTGTTAGAGCTGGCCAAGGAATTCTGGCAATTCTTCCTGGATCGCAATATCTCAGTTCAAGTGAAATACATTCCCGGGATGGCCAACATAGTAGCAGATTGGAACTCCAAATACCTACGGGATGCTAGTGATTGGCAGCTGAATTGAGCCTTTTTTTTCTACCGGCAGTCACTCTGGGGCCCTCTGAATATCAACCTCTTTGCATCACGGTTGACTACCGAAGTTCTTCAATTGAAGACCAAACCTGGTGGCTGAACACTCGTCATTTCTGGCCGACTCAACTCTACTCTGGTTCTCTACACTCATGGAAATGTCCATAGACTATCTGAGATTACTCCCTACTTCACAAGACCTCTTGTGGGACCCCAACAGGAACTCACACTCCCTTCTATTATGTCAAGGATCTTACCTGGAGTGGGAGTCCGGCCTCGCAGAGTTAAAGCACCCTTTGCAATTCGACACAGGCCGAGGGGACTCAAGACAGAAATTCCCAAGGCTGTGACAGTGACACAGTGCACTGGGGCTGAAATAACCAGTGCTTCCTGGAACGCAGTACAGACAAGGGATATCCAGAAGAGTAGACAGTAACAGAATCAGAAGTCAGGACAGGCAGCAATCAGGCGAAAACGGTAGACGAGCAGGGGATCAAAACCAGGAGTTAGATGAATAGCAGTGAAACCAAACAGGAACAGGAAACACTATCTGACAACGAGAACCAGCCTTGCGGGGTTTAAATAGGGAGTCTTAGCCAATCATCAGGGAACCAGGAACAGGTGTGCAAATGTCCAGAACTAGAGATTCAGACAGCAGGAACCCAGGAACCACACAAAAGGAACTAGAGATGCATGGAGTCAAGGACAAGGTGCCTGACTGTGATGCAGGAGACCCAGGTTTAAACCCAGCTAGATCCAAATACCCATAATTAGCGCATAGCACGCTAGTGACCCTGTGTCACAACTACTAGTGTGGTCCAGCACGCAGAAACTATGTAAACATATACATAAGAAGGAAGGACCCGGCTTAAGAGGGAAGTGGTCGTGAAAGGGCCGCACAAGACGGGGCGCATGAACCCGGTCAGCAGGTACCCAACAACGTTCCTCAGGACCATACCCTTTCCAGTCAACAAGATAGGACAAGATACCTCTGTAAATTTTGGAGTCCAGTATAGATCGAACTTTGTATTACTCCTGGTCACCCACTACCAAGGGTGGAGGAGTAGACATTCTAGTGTATCGATTGCAAGTAAGAGGCTTGAGCAAAGATACATGAAACGAATTGGCAATCCTCATATGGGCAGGGAGTGCCAAAGAATAGGTCACCGGATTGATACGTTGGAGGACTCGAAAAGGACCTATGTACCTAGGGGCAAATTTCATGGAAGGAACTTTAAGTTTGATATGGCGTGTGGATAACCACACCCGGTTGATAGACAGGATTGGTTCCCCGTCTCTTGTCAGCATGGACCTTGCACGTTTTGATGCCTTTTGTAGAGCTGAATGAACGGAATTCCAAGTGCCATGAATAGAATCCAAACGAGTGTTCAAAGCGGGAATATCGGTATCCGAAAATTCAGAAAGGAAAACCGTGGGGTGATAACCCTGGTTTACAAAAAATGGACTGTGATTAGAAGATTCATGAGTTGCATTATTCCTGGCGAACTCAGCCATGGGTAAGAGCTCATACCAGTTAGACTGATTGGCAAATAGGATTCTAAAGACTGATTGGCTCTCTCTGCTGTGCCATTAGTTTGAGGGTGGTATGCTGAAGAAAATTAGAGTTCGATACCCAATTGTTTACAAAAGGAACTCCAAAACCTAGAAATAAATTGGGTACTGTGACGAAGTGCCCTTCGCCACTTGGTACTGGAGAGGCCTGCTTGCCAGCCTCCTCCCCTGTGACTATGACTCTTTCATCTATCTGGCTTTAAAGCCCCTAGTCTACCTTCAGACAGACTATTTATGTGGGCTGCTTTATTTATCCTATGTTTTAGTCACCCTGTACCCATTATAGGTGCAGGGTGTGTGTAATGTAATTGTTTATAGTGTGTGTGTGTAAATGTATTGCCTGCTCTCTTGTATTGCTGAGGTTTGCTACCAACTAGGTGGGTTTGGCTATGGAGCTGGTCTAGTGCCCTCTGTTGGTAGCAACAGCAATATGCACTACCTGAATTGCAAGACTGGTCATTTGCATATTCGGGTAGATTTGCATATTGCTAATTCTGCAGGCAGGTGAGATATTTACTGTTAAATATTGTCTCCCCCCACCCCTTTAAAAATGTGCCATTGTGTTGTGATAAGTCACTGTGTGTTTCTTGATATGGTTTGACTGTTTGTGATTTTATTGAGGTTTCACAACAATGTTATTGTGGTGACTGTATTGGCTGGTCCCAAGGGAATAAAGGTTTTGACAGTTCTTCTTGATCCCTCTAAACGTAGCCTTGTCTCGTTATTGGAGGGAGCTGTTATAATTACACTGGGGATTGCTATGCTCTGCATGCTCCCCTGAGCTTGAGTCACTTAGCTCTTTTAAGAGCTTGTTCCTGACACGCTCTCCTTGGAGGAGGGGTCTTCACCACACAGTCCTGGATGCTGGAGGTTCATACAGGGTGGAAGGAAGAGTTCTTTCCCACACAGTCCTGGAGGACAGAAGCTGATCCAGGGTGGAAGGAAGACGGCGAGACTCCAGTCAAGATACAGCGGTTGCAGAGTCTACGGTGGTTGTGGTGTCTGCTGCACTGCTTGGAGTCCTCAGGAAGCGCTAGGAGCATCCGTCAACGGAGGGTACTCAGTCGGAGTACAAGGAGCTCCGTTACAGGTACCTCTGTCAGATACTATGTTTTTGGGCACTCCGT